GCAACTTCAAACCCCCAATTCCCATCCCACACACAACAACAACAACCATCTCTTTCAACAACCATCTCTCTCACAACCACACATCCTGATCTCTACCCTCTGCAATTAAGCTACCCTTTTCTATCTTCAACCTTCTTCTTTCCTGATACCCTTCCTTCCTTCTCCAACGCGTCATCTCAGGTAAGAGAACTTCCCATGCCCCATCCTCCCCCCGTTTCATCAGCGATGTCGGGTTCCCCCTCCCTCTTACGCCCATCTCAAACCAGCCTCACTCCAACCGCGCACCCTACAAGAGGGAGTGACGACATTTTGGCTGCCTGAACACTGTCGCCACTGATCCAACATCTGATCTCTGTCACCTGCAATTCCCTTATCTTTCCCCTTTTGGCTTGGCAACCAGACATCCACACACACGCACATGGGCCTCGTGATGATCCATTGCTTTTGATTCCTTTTTGCTTCAAGACACTGCACCCAGTACTTATTCATTGCGAGAGCAAGAGGCAATTCTTCTGTTTATTTCCTTCTCTCCACGTCTTACCTTTCAACCCTTGTCTTGATATCCCTCTCCATCGCAACACGCAAAGCGCATAACAACCCCACTCAGACCGCGAACTTCGAGAAAACTAACGCTAACATCACAACGAACACCAGATCCTACCTTCATCATGGGTTACGAAGATGCTGTGTATCTGGCCAAGTTGGCCGAGCAGGCCGAGCGCTATGAAGGTCCGTCCCTACCACGTACCCCTCACTATACCCAAACGAACAGCGTGTTGATTCGGCTGCAGAGATGGTGGAGAACATGAAGATCGTTGCTTCCGCCGACCAAGAGCTTTCCGTTGAAGAGCGAAATCTCCTCTCCGTCGCCTACAAGAATGTCATTGGTGCCCGACGTGCCTCCTGGAGGATCGTTACCTCGATCGAGCAGAAGGAAGAGTCAAAAGGCAACGAGTCCCAGGTCGGGTTGATCAAGGAATACCGTCAGAAGATCGAGGCCGAGTTGGCCAAGATCTGCGAAGATATCCTTGAGGTTTTGGACAAGCATCTCATTGCCTCCGCTCAGACTGGAGAGTCCAAGGTCTTCTACCACAAGATGTATGTCATGTTCGCGGTGTCTCATAAGCAGCACTAACCTGCTTTCCGTCTTACAGGAAGGGTGACTACCACCGTTACCTTGCCGAGTTCGCTCTTGGTGATAAGCGCAAGACTTCTGCCGACGAGTCACTAGAGGCCTACAAGAACGCCACTGAGGTTGCTCAGACCGACCTTGCACCAACCCACCCCATCCGTCTTGGCTTGGCCCTTAACTTCTCCGTTTTCTACTACGAGATCCTTAACTCTCCCGACCAGGCTTGCCACTTGGCCAAGCAGGCTTTCGACGATGCTATTGCTGGTAGGTGTTTACGTGTGGTTCTTACAATGGTAACTAGCTAACGACAGATGCAGAGTTGGACACACTGAGCGAGGAAAGTTACAAGGACTCCACTCTTATCATGCAGCTCCTCAGAGATAACTTGGTATGTGATCCCAGAACCCCACGTAATCAATATAATGTGTGATGGTCCGTGCACTAACACTTTCTAGACCCTCTGGACTTCATCCGAAGCCGAGCCCGCCGGCGAGTCCAACGCTCAGGCCACCTCCGAGACCAAGGAGTCTGCCGAGGCTCCTGCCGCGGCTCCCGAGCAAGACAAGCCTGCCGAGTAAACTAGAAGAAAATGCGATGGAATACCAACCAAGGTTGAGTCATGGAGAAACGAGGTTAGCATAGTTGGGAGCGCGGGAAAGAAACCAGTGCAGTATCTAAGGGGCAAGGAAAAGGAATAAAAAACGAAAGAACACAAAAAAAAAACAACAGGATGGGTTATGTTTGTTTCTCTTAATATTTTCTGTTCTCCCGGGAAGAAAAATTACTCTTTTTTTTTCTGGGTTCAGGCTTTTACACACACACCCTTTTTTCCCGTCCTTCGTCATTTCTTTTTTGCTTGTCTCTTTTGATTGATATTCCTATCTAATCCCTAAGACGCATCGGGTCTTTCTTACCACTTCTATACAACTATGCAGTTCACACACCCCGTCTTTTTTTAAAAAAACCACTTGTTTATACAGACAGAGCTTCGACAACTTTTCAACACCAAACCCTTCTTTCCCACTCCAAATTTTAGATGGTCTCACGGCTATGAAGTATGTGCTTTTGCTTTGCTTGGCTTTCGTTATTCGGTGCCTTATTAGTGTGTGCTTTTTTTGTCTGTGTTTTTTGACGCAACACCTAAGAAAAGAGGTATATTAAAGAAAAGAAAAAAACTAACTTATAAGAGAATGAGAAATAATTTATAAAATAACGAGTTGCCTGTGTGGGTGTTGGGTTTTGCGTATGTCCAACGTGAAGAGGACGTACGTCTAGGAAGATAGGGATGTATGTCTGTATGTCTGTATGTGCGTGGCTTGCTTTCCTGTATCATGTGCAATGTGCATTGAGGCCGTGGTCTAGACGTTCTCCCCTTCCAGATATGGAAGGACGTCGTTCATATTTCAATTTCGTTTGTGTCTTCGAACTTGTTTCCTCTTCTCTCATTCTTTGGGTGTCAGAGCTTCCTACTACCCTTCGCTATAGGATAGGAAGTGAAAGGTAGCTTTTGATCTTCTCGGCTGCCTTACATGTAAAGTTGAGCGTTGCTTATTTCGGACAAGTACCTCTACAAGGTACCAAGTACCCCTTGACACCGTACGGACGATTCTGGCTGTCTCTTGGCGCCCTGTACTCTAGATAGAAGAGTACATGTACATGGCAACAGCGTTACTCGCCCAAAATGGGTATACAAGGGGAAGAAGGGGAATCTACTACGACTTCTCCAATCCTCAGTCTCAATGAAGATTGTCTTCGCGTCGTTATAGATTATGTTCAGGTATGTCTCTCCCTCTCTCATTAACGAATTTGGCTGCAAACCAAGTGGCTCGAGAAGGACCCGATTTCGAGCCCCTGCCTAAAGAGCGTCCACCCTGGGTACCACGACGCGGCGATTCGCGAGTAATGGTCCCTACAACCCTCCCCTGGGCTCCTAACATTGACGCCGAGCTCCCTGCACCTCTTCTCGAAGATAGGATAAGCTAACAAGTCCACCCCCCAGCTCCACGACAAAGAAGACGAGCAAAAACACGACATCAACCACATCACAAAATGGGAAACATCAAACCTCGAATCCCTCTACGCAACATCCCGGATATTCCGCCACCTCTGCGGCCCTAGATTATACCACACCATCACCACATTTTGGCCTGACCATGCGCCGTCGGAGAAAGACGACGACAACGACGACGACGACCCCTCGCAATTTATATACGATTGTATATTCCGCGCCGACCACCCCCTGAGGCACTGGATCCGGGAATTAAGGATCATGCCCTGCCAGAAGGTCCGAACCCGCCAGACGAGGTTTGTGATGCCGCTGATTATGAATCAGCGGATTAGTGAGGTTAATGTTCTCACGACGGAGTTTGAGGTTGATACGGTTCCGCCGGAAAGGGGGAAGCTTTTGAAGGTTTTGGGGTTGTTGGGGAAGTTGGTTAGGATTAGGTAGGTTATGTTCCTTTATCTTGTAGGATTGGTGACTGACTCTCTAATTTCGGTGCCGAATATAGATGGAATGTGAAGGCGGAAACTGATCCCGAAGTCGTATCTTGGCTGGAGAGGGAGAGGCCAGATGTTTCCCTTTCAGTGATTCTCTTAGCTGCCTCCGGTTCACCTAAGGAGAGGCTTGTTCTTGCGCCGAATCCACCGACATCCTCCTCGATTCGCTCTCTCGAGTTTCGCGTTCCTGTTCACTCGGTGGGATATCCTCCCCTGAACCTCGAAGCAGTTAAGGATACGATAATCTCGAATTCTAAACTCGAAAAATTATCCATCAGTTTCTCGAACAAGGCCCCGAGGGATGTGGATTTCGGATTCAAAGACCACCACCACCCCAAGGGAGAGAAAAAGGAGCACTTTCCCACCTCCCTAAAAGAACTTCGACTATCCATGTTCCAGCTCACAAACTCCATCTGCGCCCAGTTGGACGGCCACATCCATTGGGACATGCTCCGATCCTTAACCATCTTCATGCTAGCCGGCTTTGCCCGCACAGCAGCAGAATGTACCGCCACATACTCGGGCATCACAAACCGTCTTCGAAACTTGGACACCTTCTCCCTCAGATTTACTCACGGGACGTCTGCGCTTGGAGAGGAATTTTTCACCTTTATATCCTCGATCAAGGCTCTTAAATATTTCTCTGTCCGTGGGCCGCGGTATGAGATGTACGAACTAATTTGCGCAGCGGGTAGTGAGCGCCATAAGGGGTTCGATCGTGTGATTGTTCAGCACTCGAAGTCCCTTGTACATCTTGATATATCATGCCTGTATGAGCCCGCGTGGAGTCAGTTTCACGGGTGCTCGATTGGCGTGAGGTCGAGGCATTGGAGGTGGTTGGGTGACGAGGGGAAGGGTGAGAAGGTAGTGGAGGAGGAGAACTTAGCTTGTCATATTTATTTGGAGTTGTATTGTCCGTTGGAGTTGGAGAAGGAGAGGGAGAAGTTGAGGAGGGAGGTGGATGGGGTTTTCAATAGGGGTTGTGAGGAGGGGTTTACGTTTACGGTTGAGGGGAAGATAGTCGATAGATATGGGGAGGTGTTGCTTGCTTAAGGTATGCATAGTATGCATGCGTGTTGGTTTTGGGGGATGCTAGGGGAGTTGGGAACTGAACGGAGGCTCCCATTCTCTTGGGATTTTATTTTGGTTTCTTTTCCGGTATGTACGACGATTTTACGAATAAGTGAGGGTACTTCCTCACCAGGCTCATCTAGACGGAAAATCAATATGAAGACGCCGCCACCACTCCCAAGGCTGGAAACGGTTTCCAAAAGGGTTCTCCTGATATGGGAACAGGGGGTAGGTATGGGGATAAATAAGCTTGCATCCTCATGTTCCACAGATCGGGACAAACTCCAAGCAATAACATTCCTCGATGGTCTAACGGTTATGATGGTCGCTTGTCACGCGATCGACCTGGGTTCGACTCCCAGTCGGGGAGGATTTTTTTATTTTTTAAATTCTGGATATATTTTTTTTGGATTGCTTTGGGGGACAATTTCTCTCTTTCTCTTTTTTTTTTTGAAGATGAAGATGTGATCGAAAAGTTCGCGGGTGCGTTTCGTTTCAGATTTACCCTCGCTAAAACTAGATCTGAAACGACGCTGTTTCTTCAGACTTTCAACTTCCACAAATTATGACCTGAGCTGCTTTGCAAGAACTTGTGCCTTGCATTGATTGCATCGTACATAACCTTTTTTGGAGTATCCGCTACTGTCCCAGATTTAGTAGCTTGAGTGGGTGTTTGCGAATTTATCCAGAGTTTGATCGACGTGGAAACTCTTCTTTCTTTCTCTATCCCGAACTCCCCTTTCTTTCCCTCTTACCCTCATCGCATGTTAACTGGCGACATGATATGATATGGGGCTTTCGGGAACTGGACTGGCGAGAAGAAGCTATCAATCAGCCCAGAAGAACAAACAACCCCGGCGGTGCCCCGTTTCCGAGTCTTGCCGTCTTTGAAACATACCCACCCCCATTTCGGCACTTCAACTGTATATGTTTCAAAAACTCCAACATATCACAAAACTATTCTATTCTCCCGCAGAACCGAGGCCATTTTCTAGCTCTGTCTGTGCGTGATATCGAGATGGGAAACATGCCCCTACCCCGGCACGTTTCTCCTATCTGTCTCCCATTTTTAGCTGTTTCATGGATGGATCCCCACAGACAACAGGCACAGGCACAGACAGGCAGACAGGGGATCTTTAATTTGGATCGGAAACCCAATCGCTGGGAGGAGGGATTGGAGATCTATCCATATGCAATGTGATTGTGGAAAGCCGAGTCTTGAAAAGTGCCGGCCGGCTTCGGCTCTTCTTTCTTACCTTCTTATTTCGGGAAGGTGTCTATCTATCTATGCGTTTGAAACTTCCAGCGGGGAAGGGAGGGGGATGTGGTATCTTGAAAGATTTAAAGGGAAGAGAGTATCCAGATGGGAGATACCTATTTTTTTCTCCTGTGCTTGCTTCTTTTCAATCAAACACTTTCTGCTTTTCGACAGAATCATACACTCTTTTCTAGCCCAGTGGAAGCGCTGTGCAGCTCCCGTTCCATTTCTCGTTCATTCATTCATCCCCTTCTTTTATCATAAAAAATCCAAACCCCTTCTTCCCCACCCAGAAACCACCATGAAGACAAGCACATTCGCCATCCTCGCCTTCAGTGGCTCCGCCTTAGGCGCACCTACCCCTAAGCTCGCCCAATTGAAGTCCCTAGTCCATAGAGCTACGGAAGGCCTGCCGGGCCTGGGTGACTTCGATTTCGGAGACCTACCCGACTTCGGCGGATTCGGCGGGTTTGGGGGTGATGATTCTAGCAGCGGGTCGGGCAGCGGCAGCGGGTTCCTGGATGGACTTGCGGGGCTAGGGAGTTTTGGGGGGTTCGGAGGGTCTGGGTCTGGGGATTCAGGTAGTGGGAGTGGGCTTGGGGGATTGTTGGGCGGGTTCGGGGGGTTGGGTGATTCGAATAGCGATGCTGCCGATTCTGGGTCCGACTCTGGCTCTAGCTCTGGGTTCGGAGACTTCGACTTCCCTTCCTTCGGTGGTGGGGGGTCGTCGACTGAGAATGGAGTCGTGGATAATGGGGGATGTCAGCCACTGACGTTCATCTTTGCGCGGGGGACTACTGAGATGGGGAATATGGGGAGTGTGGTTGGGCCACCGGTTGCGAGTGCTCTTCGGTCCTCGTTGAATGATAAGGTTACTGTGCAGGGGGTTGATTATCCTGCTTCTGCCGCGGTTCGTTGCTTGCTTCTTACATCTACCTACCTCTCTTTCTTGAGTTGAGCTTTAACTAACCCCACAAACAGGGAAACGCCGCAATGGGCGCCGAAGGCGGTCCCGAAATGGCCAAACTCGCCCAACAAGCCCTCTCCAACTGCCCCAAGACCAAAATCGCATTGGGTGGCTACTCCCAAGGCGCGATGGTGGTGCACAATGCCGCGAAGTCTCTCGAGCAGGGCCAGATCGCTGCAGCGGTGGTATTTGGTGATCCGTTGAAGGTTATGCCTATCGAGTCTGTTCCTGAGGGGAATGTTAAGGGGTTCTGTGCGGAAGGGGATCCGGTTTGTGCTAATGGGGGGAATTTTATGGCGCATATTAGTTATGGGGGGGATGCGGAGGAGGCAGCGAGTTTTATTGTGCAGGCTGCTGGGTTGTAGGTAGGGAGGGGGTGGGGTCTATGGAATGGGATGGGATGGGAGTTTGGAGTATTGGATCAGGGGGAGAGAGGGTTTGGCCGGAAAGCTGGGCTTTCAAGGGAAATGGCTACGAATATGTGACAATGTAGAGAATATGATAACGGTTTTTCTTGCTCAGTCACTCGATATCACTGAACTTGTCGAGAGTGGTATTGTTATAGTGTATGACTATCTCTCGGTACGTGTCTTCGTGGGCTCATTCGTACTCTTCATCACAGCATTTCTTCCCTTCTCAGGTTTCCTTCCCTAGCACGCATTGTAGCACCCGGGGAACTTGATCATGCAGACATCATTGCAGCATGTTGCATCCATGTCGCAGTCATAGGCGCAGCACGCCGCGACTCCGTCGCAGTCGCACGCGCGACGAACGAAGGCCATATCCTCGTTGAACTCTGATGTCTCCCAGTTAGTACATAGTTAAATCAGATGAGAGGTTGCCCTCAAGAGGGCCGCCGGGGTCTTACCGGAGTCCACGGCGCGAGCCGCAGCCATGCCTACAACGGCGAGGGCAGAGAGGACGGTGAGGAAGCGCATGTTGATGATTGTGCTGAAGGTGAGTTTGGTGGGTTTGGTGAGTGATGTGTGTTGGGTTTCTTGAGGTTGCTTGGGCTGCTTGTCGAGGAGAGTTGTTTGCGATGCTATTGAATCGAGGTTGGAAGAGAGGTTCTTGCCCGCTATTTATACCCCGCGGTCCTCATTTTTCTCCAGCGCATTCCGGCCAATCTTCCTCATTCTTGTTTGTTGAACCTCGGAATGAGAGCTTCTCACTTCGTGAAGTGGCGTACTATGGCTGGTGGCCCGTAGTCCCGCCATTCCTCTCGTTGTCGAGGAGAAATTTGCTGCGAAGTAACTATACAGACAGGGTCGACATGTATGTATGTCCCTGGCCCAGTAAACCTTCAAGGTAAGTCCGTCTGACGTGGGCTGACCGAGTGCATGATCGAGCCTCATTCATTGTAACCAACAGTTGTAGTTGCCGAATCGATCTTGATGATTGGTACGGACATCTCAGAGCCTGTCGAGACCATAACCACTAGATCGAAAGAGAAGATCCATATACAATGGATAGAACGGCGAGCATCTTTCAGCTTTTCTCACTGATTTTTCAACATCAGCCTTGCTCAAGATATCTGAGATTTGTGTCGCCCCGCCACGCCCCGTAACGGCTCACTTTTTTTCCACATGAGGCAACCGATGCGAGTTCAATCTGCTCGACATTGTTTGGCAACAACGACAATAATGGTTTTGTTCACCCTGGACTGGTTGGATATGTTTGTCTTCAGTGAGAGGCTGAAAGTCTGCATATCAGCCCTTGCAATGGCCTGTGCAGTAATTAAGCACTAAGCGCAATCCAATCTAGCGTCTAAAACTTTTGGTGAGAAGGAATTGAAGCTAGTATCAAGTCGATTAGCTCGCTTATAGTGCACGGGCCAATAGAGATGCAAACTATCAGCGAAGAACTGTTGGTGAAGTGAGAGTTATCCATCTACTGAGTGAAATACTAGGTAGAATAGAGGGTTGGATACTGGATGAAGTATCAATCATTTTCTTGATTCATATCCAACCCTCTATTCCCCCTAGTATCCAACCAGCCAAATGATCGAGAGAGAGAGGAATGAGACGAATCGGCCCAGCCACCTAAACATGTGACTTCGAGCGACCATTTCGGTCATTTGGGGTGTGTATTTAACCGGACCCTTGGCGGGTCTGGTACTGGTGAACTTTCAAAGCCGTCACAGCATGAGGAAAAGTCCAGCTAACGGGCGCCATCTGATCGTGGAGGATCAGAGTAGATCGATCAACGCACTCCCGAACCAATCGAGGCTATGCCCCCGCTTGCTCCTGGAGCCAACAATACCAAATCTCACCCCTCCTACTAACAAGGCTAGAGTAGATTGCTCTACTGACGTGGTAGTATGCTGAATCAGGCTAGTCTTGCGAGGAGCAAAACATGTGCCGCGAAGAACCAAGAATTTGAGCCCAGTGCAGTCCGAATGTGAGACGTGTTGGAGCCTACGTCTTTCGCCGTTCTAGCGCTGACTCGGTTAGGACTGATCTTTACTCTTGACTGGGAGGCCCTAGATACGCATGAAGGAGATGAGATGATGGAAGAGATCGAAAGGGATCGAAGTCAGGCAACCACCCCTCACTTCCTTTCTTGAATCAGCTCTCGTTGAACCCTCCTGGGGATAGGAGATAGATATGAATCAGCTGGTGGTTGAATCCGCTATCGTTCAACCACCGAGAGGGTGGGAATTAGCTGGTGGTTGAACCAGCTTCCATTGAACCCGTACCCTCATCTACATTGATTTTGTTATGGTTGACGCCCAGATAAACAAAAATTTACCTGGCGGCAATTCAAACATCATAGACTATAGGATCCGCGATATCAAGGTCGCCATTCTTGCGACAAGGCCACCACTAACGAGGGATCGAGTGATCTGGTGAGATGTGAGCTGTTGCTACACGATGGCATGCCTGGGTCAGTCTTTCAGCTTCAAAATACTGTTCCAGGGACTTAATGCAAGTGAGACAGGCTTCCAGTCTATAAATATACCCAAAGGACGTCTAGTGGGTAGATGTTGAAGCTGCCTTGCGGCGCTAGGTGTTCTGCCCCTAGAGAGTCGAAAACCGGCCAATCGTTTTGATATCATGGATGTAAAGAAATCCTCGCCATGACGGCAGGTTGAGATTACTACTAGCCTGAAGGCTGAAGGCTGAAGGTAACAATGGCGACGTAC